ATGTAGGTTAAAACATTGATGGTAAATGGCCTGTATTTGTATAACGCTTTCTTAGGGTTCTACAACCCCCCAGCCACAACACAATTATTCATTCACCCATTCACACACACATTCACACGCTGGTGGGGATGAGCTACAATGTAGCCACAGCTTCCCTGGGTCGCTATGAGGGAGGCACATAGAGGCACATAGAGGCACATAGAGGCGTCCTTTTACTTCATCTTTCTAAAACTTACAATGCTGGTACTCTTGAATTGGAAAAAAGGTAGAATGCCTTCTCCAGGTCAGGAACGAAATCGTGTCTCAAGTGGAGGAGTTTAAGTAGCTCGGGGTCTTGTTCCCGAGTGAAGGAAAAATGGAGCATGATACTGCCAGGTGGATTGGTGATGCATCTGCAGTGATGCGCGTGTTGTACCAGCATGTCGTGGTGAAGAGAAAGCTGAGTTTGAAGGCAAAGCTCTCGATTTACCAGCCGATCTACATCCCTACCCTCACCTATGGTCATGAACTTTGGGTAGTGACAGAATGAATGAGATTGCGGATACTAGCGGCCGCAGTGAGTTTTCTCCGCAGGGTGTCTGGCTTCTCGCTTAGGTGGTGAGGTGGCTTGGGCATCTGGTCAGGACGCCTCCTGGTGAGGTTTTCCGAGCACGTCCAACTGGAAGGAGACCCAAGCGAAGACCCAGGACATGCTGAAGGGACTTTGTACGTCGGCTGGCCAGGGAACACCTTAGGATTCCCCCTAAGGAGCTGGCCAAGGTAGCTGGGGAGAGAGAAGTCTGGGCCTGCTCCCGCGACCTGACTCCAGATAAGCGGCTGAAAATGGATGGATGGATGGATGGATGGATGGACAATTCTGGTTTGACTGTTAATGGATTTATCTACCTATCTACACATCTCCAATGATGTCTGATGGTCTTCAGAGCTTCACTCCATGGAAGGCCTTGACCCATATTGTGGTCCGTGACTAAAACCAGTAACTTTCGCAGACATTTCTGGGGCACTGAATGCTCTCTGAATAACATACTAAACTCATAGAGGAAATGTGACCTCCATGATGCACTGTTACTGGAGTTGTAACAAAAATGGTCAACTGCTAAACCAGGGTTTCCCCCATCGCTTTATATGCCTGGCGGCCCGCCAGGCTTTGCTTGCCCACCTGCCAGGCTAAGCGTCATGCCCCGCCCCCCTCCCCGACCCTACCGTGTCTGCTGACACGAACGATGCAACGAAACTAGAGCCCTCCATCAGCTGATACTGGTGAAAAACAGCAGCGGAACGTGTGCAACCACCCCACCCCCGCTCTCACGGAGGGGCGCTGCGGAACTGAGCGCCCCCCTCTCCAGACGGCCAACGCCGCCAGGCTTAACTCATTTTCTGGGGGAAACCCTGTAAACTTTCTGCTGTTTGTGGAGTTTTACTTCATTCAGATACCTGCACACAGCTGCAAACGTTTGTCTGTCAGAAGCTTGAGGTTCACTAAATAAATGATTGATTACTGACACATTAAAGGAAAGTTGTGATTTTAAAGTATGTTTCTGTAAAAACGAAATAAATAATTATTATTTTACTTGTTGTAGATGCAACATTATTTTATACACTCTTATGCAAATGTCCAGTTTTGCTTCACACAGATATTTACTTGGATTTCTTTGGTTACTCACCAACATACATATCACATGTCACATATGTAGTGTTTTTGGTGCACCCAGAAAGCTTAAGGCAGCTTTTACCATGAAAGCTCCTCAAAATAGTTAAAATATTTGTATCTAATGACATCATAAATTCAGACATGTTCCTAGCATATGTGAGACTCACACATGTGCAGCATAACTGGCTCTCCTCTAACTCGAACCACATTTGTGGATCTTCAGAAGCCCTTCTGTCAGCAAGCAGCCATGAATAATGGCCAGTAGCATCAGGGAGTGAAACAAACTAAAGCTGAAGCTTAAAGTCAGTGTTTTTACGCAGCAAGAGGGGCTCCAGTCTCACAACGTTCTTCTAAGTCTGTGAAAGGAAAGAAGGAATGGCAAGGAATGGAAGGGAAATGAAAGGAAGGAAGTAAAAACAGGAAAGGGAGGTGCTCAGCTTGGTTAGAAGGAGGGTAGAGTTGGGTTCTAAGTAAAGCACCTCTTACTTTCCTCAATTCTGCTGACTAAGACTTTTCGTCACTCATAATCTACCAACACTTGTGGGATGTTTCATAAAACGGTTTATTTTAAATTTAGACTAAACACGTTTGGTAAAGAGAACAGGAGGATGTGAAACAGACCTGTGAGGCTTGACTTCTAGGACATGTTGAGTCTCTCTGCTGCTATCCATAGCAGAACTTTGCCATCGTGGTCCTCCCACCCTCCCGTTTGCTCTTCCTCTTTCCTCCCATCACCCACAATAGCTCAGTTCACTCCATGCCCAGAGAGCAGAGCCAAACCAGCGCCCCCCTTTACTCTATCTACCCTGCAACAGTGCAGAGTGGGGGACATGTCTGAGCCCTGATGTACGAGCAGAGCTGAAGGAGAATACCAAACACCGAGTGTCTGTATCCAACCCCCACTACGCAATCCAAAGACCCTCTCAGAATGGACAAAAGAAATAGATCAGGATGCCCTCTAAGAGCATGACAGGGGGTTTTATACTCAAAAGTGTTCATGCTCACCCTCCCCTTTGCTAAAAGAGTCCGTGTGACAACTAATACTAATGAGGCATGCTGATGTTTACTCTTTTAGTGCATTAAGATATATTTACTGCACATAAAAACCGCTCTCTGCAAACACTCCTATCTGAGTTAATGCTGGCTTTCCAGAAACTTAAAATAAAACAGGAAACAACTCTCAGAAAATATCACATCCCTTTCACATTTAGGAGCATTTCAGTTTCCATAGAATTCCTAACAAGGAAAAGAGTTGGATAAATAGAAAATAAACACATTTAGACACAGTGAGAATGGTTAATGTTAACCTTTTCAGGCTACGGTTTAATCTAAAACCAAACTTCAGTGGTATTGGCTTTTATACTGTAGACCTTTGGTGCATCTTTATTTTTAAATTGACAGTGACATTTTATGTTTTTATTTAAAGAAAAATGTATCAAATGGTTTATAACACTAGTTGCCACATCACACAGACAACTATAGAACGATTAAAATGAGTATTTCACTGGGCTCTGACCGTTGGTGATGACACAAACACGTGAGAAAACATACAAAACTACAACATTTTGTGACAAGCGTTATAAACGGCAGGGTCATGGGTCATTTGGGACAAATGACGTATAGTGCCATCAAGACATTAAAAACATTAGTATAGTTAAAGTGTAGCCTAGTGAACTAGACCAAATTCTTGCATTTATTTAGTCTAGCTTGCCAGGCTAGTTAAAGTGGCCAGATCATGGAAAATACACTTTTTGAAGTATTTTACATATGATATTGTTATTTGCTCATGAAAAATACCTCCAAACCCATTTTTGACTGCCTTCATGCATTTTCCTGTCTCAGCTGCAAGTTAGTCGGCTGCCCCGGAGGCCTTTCTTAGCTTCTTGGGTTAGTGAAGTTAGCCAGTTTCTGCAATGGCTCATTTGTTCTAACCCTCCCTCAGCTCCACCTCTTTCCCATTTTTGGATTGTCTGGGCATGACGAGTGAGGGTAACAACGTAGATCAACCAGTAATTTGAGAGCTTTGACTTCCAGCTCAGCTCTCTATTCACCATGACACAACGGTACAACGCCCGCATCATTGCAGACTCAGCACCAAACCGCCTATCGATCTCCTGATTCATCTTTCCCTCACTCGTGAACAAGACCCCGAGACATTAAACTCCTCCACTTGGGGCAGGACCTCATTCCTGACCTGGAGAAGGCATTCTATCCTTTTCTGACTCAAGACCACGGTCTTGGATTTAGAGGAGCTGATTCTCACCCCAGCTACTTCACACTCAGCTGTGAACCACTCCAGCAAAAGCCGGAGATCACGTTGTGATAAAGCCAACAGGACCACATCATCTGCAAAAAGCAGAGACCCAATCCTCAGGCCACCAAAACAGATATCAACACCTTGGCTACGCCTAGAAATCCTGTCCATAAAAGTTATGAACAGAATCAGTAACAAAGAGCAGCCTTGGTGGCGTCCAACTCTCACTGAAAACAAACCCAACTTACTGCCGGCAATGTGGACCAAGCTCTGACACCAGTCATACAGGAACCTAACAGCCCATATCAGAGGGCCTGGTACCCCATACTCCCGAAGTACCCCCCACAAGGTCTCTCACGGGACGCAGTCAACAAAACACATGTAGATTGGTTGGGCGAATTTCCAAGCACCCTCCAGGACTCCCCTAACGGTACAGAGCTAGTCCAGTGTTCCATGGCCAGGACAAAAACCACATTGCTCCTCCTGTCATGGCATAGTTGAAAATGATTGCAATGTACTGAATTGGACATTTTATTTATTAAGGGGAGTTAGACAGATAGCTTGCTTTGTGACAAATGTTCTTGAAATGAATTTGAAATGACTTGAGAGCTATAGCTGTAATCAGAAGTGTGTTGTTCTTAAATTGGCATAATTGAATTAACTTTTAAAAGCTTTACAACATCTGAATCCCTCACCTATTAAACTAAGGGTTGTTTTTAATTTAATAATATATTATTATGAAATAAAACATATTTATTTATAAAATATATAATTTATTTGTGGGGCAAAATGTACAAAACTGCAATTCCAAAGTTATGTTGACTTTCTAAGCAAAACATCTGATGTACCTTCTATGGTAGCTAAAGCTGAAAGGAACACACAGATTACGTGATTTTGATCCAGGGTTTACTGGATTAAAAAGGCATTTCAGACATTTTACAGTAGCTTCCAAAGAGCTTCCCCTAGGCCCACTCTGTAGACCATGGTGATTTAATAAAACCATAAAGCCTAAACTCCAGTTGTATCAGTAGCTTAAATCAGAGCCAGCTGCTGGACTTAAAAAATCTGTTCTACATTTGACCCAAAAACACCTACATGCTGCTCCATATGTTGTCTTCCAGTTGGCCAGCATTCCTCTTGTGTGTGGTGGAGGCTAAAAGCACATTCCTGGAGAGGTTTGGGCCTGGAACAGACTTTTATTCTGTTTAGTCAGAAAATCCATAACACTTAGGCAGGAATAGAATCTCTTCTGCAGTCAAAACACATTTATATAGAACAGCAGCCACATTGTGTATTCCCAAAGCAGCTGAGTAAAAGCAGTGGAGGCTAAGCCACAGCCTTTGGAAAAGGCCAAAGTGTCCACGGCCCCATCCACGTGTTAAAAATAGAGCTGCCTTTTACTCTGATGTTCTTTCTCCACTTTTATCTGATCACTTTCTAAGTAGACCAGAAATATTTTCACACATGCACTACAGCTCTGCCATTTTTTAAACATGCTCCAAAAGAACTGGATGTAAATCGGTAACTATTAACTCATTCACTCCCATTGATGACTAAAGTTGTCATTTTAAATCCAACCTTTCACTGCCAATGACGACTAAAGCCAATAATCCTGGTCAAACGTTTATTTAATTAAGTGTAATTTTATAGACAATAGGTTGTAGAAGCATGCATTGTGTGTACATGTTTATGTAGACATTATAGCAGTTGTTTTAACAGCCTACAATAGAGCTATAAGCTAACTAAGGGAGTCGAGTGTATGCTGAGTCTGTTCTTCCTTTACTGAAGCGCAGGAAACAGCTTGATCACACAGAAAATCTGCATCAAAATGCCTGTTAATCAGTCAAAACTCCTTGGGGGGAAAACTTATTCAGCATTTGGAGAGACGGAGAAAGAAAGATGAAGAGAAGAGGATTTTCCAAAAAGATTCAAATGTAGTTCACCTCCGAGATTGTTTGTTTTAATTATTAAAATATCTGATCTAAATTGATGTGTACATTATGGAAAAGTGTACAAAGATTTAAAGCACTTAGTAGCACTTCTGGTTAGGTTGGTGCCAAATACCGGTTTGTTTACTGTCGTTATGATGTGTCGATATATCCCAGTTTACACGTAGGTTAGAAAACCAAACTCTTAAATAAAGTTTGTTCCACCCATTAACATCTTTTGTTTTATTTGCCTGTCTTTCTTTTAATGGTGAGATGATGTGGGGATTTCACTGAGCTGCAGGTTCTGGAGGACAAAGGAGGTGTTATTTGTTCTTTAATGGAGCAAGGCTAAGTTATCTGACCACATATTAGATTATTTAAAACTCATGTTTCATCATAATCATCATATTTCTAGACAAAAAGTCATAACAATGATCTCAAATGAAGAGTAAGATTTTGGATATAATGTAAGTCATCAGTATTTGTGCTGTAATTAGTGGGGGTTAGATTAATAAAATGATTATACTCTATCTAGGGTTGTCACAGTGTGAAAATTTAACCTCACGGTTATTGTGACCAAAATTACCACGGTTTTCGGTATTATTGCGGTATTTTTTTTAAACGTGCTACATTTTCACACAATTAAATAAACCCTGTATGTCAGGAAATATTGTCCTCAGTTTGTGTCTAAATGTTGCCTAAAATGTGTTATTTTGTAATTGTGTTGTTTATTTGTTTACATTGTTTCCCTTTAGTCTTTAAAATACCAATATTTGCCCATAACTTCTTATTTTTTGTCTGTTTGATATCATTTAAAAAAATATTAGATCAGATGATACTCAGTACTCAAGTAGCCTTCTAATCAGATACTTTTATACCCTTGAGTAATAAACCCTATATCAGGAAAATATTGTCCTCGGTTTGTGTCCTTCCAGTGAGCTTTGCAGATTTGGGAAAATGTCATAAATTTATAATTATTCTCGGAGAGAGACCAACTCTTATCTGCCGCTGGGAGCCCCGTAATGCATAGCGTCATTTCAACATGGGGGTGTCCGCGACACGGTTTATATGCACTGCGGCTGCTTTATATATCGACTCGTTGCATTCTCCCTCAACCCAAATCCTCGGATCACGCATTTTAGCTAAAACGCTAACGTTAGCTTGCCTTGCGTTGACCGTAGAGTTGTGGGTGATGGTCACGCAGATGTGTCTTGAGATTTGAAGCGTTGCTGCCTTTCACAGACACTTTTTCTGCACGTGCTGCAAACAGGACAGCCGTCTTCTATCAACTGTCCCTCGGCATTCTTCAAATATCCAAAAGATGCCCGTACTTCCAACTTTGTCTTCTTTGAGGCATAAAAAATGTCCTGAGCGCTGCCGTCTCCTCCTTTGGCCATTATTTCAGCTTTAGCTTCAAGAAAGTTTTGCTCGTAAACAACAAAGCGCGTATGTGCCGCTGGCAACTTCAGCAGATGATACGGTGGCTGGTAAGGGTCACCGCGCCTACACCGCAGCCACGGTAGTCCACCGAGATAATATAGTTCTTTTAAAAACAAGAAGGTTATTATTATTGTCAACTTTTTTACCGGGGTTTACCGCTACACCGGTTACCGTGACAACCCTAACTCTATCAGGACATCAGACCACAATTTTAATATAGTTCCTGTCACAAACTACAATGATTTCATCTACAAGTAAACTGATGTTAAAGTATTTCGGTCTGCCCCTTCCCTTTCTCCCTTTACAATACCTTTACTTACCCAGGACTGCTTAGATATTGGGATGATTTAAGATGTTTTTTCAGTAATCCTTAATCCAGCATAGGCTAAAAGTCAAAGACACATGAACATTCCTCCAATGATTTGCAGAGGCTGGTGGCTAAACCTCCACACTACCACAACAATAAACACGGCATCGACAGCAGAAGTCTGAGAATATTTACCACCAACACAGCATGTTTAGCTTCATTTTCACAGCAGACCTTGGCGAGCAGAGGTCAACTTTAACCACGCCATTCCTCCCTGGTGGTTCACAGGCTGTTTTTAGAAGCAGGCGGCACCACCAAAAATGGCCCAGAAGAACAGTGGAGCTATGAAGACCCACTACAGACCAGCAAAAAGAAAAGAATCTTGTAAACATCAAACCAAAAGAGAGCTCAAACCCTTGCTGTGGCTTCAAAACAGAGATTAGATAAATGTAGCCCTCTTGCTAAACTATAAACCAGTTTCATGACGTAAAAGCCGAGTTAACACTAGACCTGTCTTGGCAGTTGGGGGTGGGCGATATGGATAAAAATCATATCACAATTTTGTTACTAAAAAATCACGATCACGATTTTCCTATTCTTACAATGCAGACGTTTTGGAAGTTACTTATCAAAAAAATACATCTCTCTCTCTCTCTCTCTCTCTCTCTCTCTCTCTCTCTCTCTCTCTCTCTCTCTCTCTCTCTCTCTCTCTCTCTCTCCTCTCTCTCTCTCTCTCTCTCTCTCTCTCTCTCTCTCTCTCTCTCTCTCTCTCTCTCTCTCTCTCTCTCTCTCTCTCTCTCTCTCTCTCTCTCTCTCTCTCTCTCTCTCTCTCTCTCTCTCTCTCTCTCTCTCTCTCTCTCTCTCTCTCTCTCTCTCTCTCTCTCTTTCTCTCTCATCCTCTCATCCACAATATCACCACTCTCTCATCCTCTCATCCACAATATCACCAGTAATTATTTCTTGTCCAGAGAAAAAATCTATCATGTTAAACTAAATTCACGATGCATCCTCACCTCATGCATTCTCTAGTTAGGACTACACTATTACATTCACTTTTTGTCCCTCACTGCTCTCCGTAGCCGTTTCCTGATTACGCGGGAGCGGGGTCTGTCTTAAACAACGTTCTGGTTGGCAGCCACAGTGAAAAGGCTCACTAAAACACACACAAGATGTCTCCAAATAATAAAAGTCACAAAGTTAAATGCAAAGTTTAGAGCAGAACATGGACCCAGAGGCTCCCTGATCGACGCGTGAGAATACATGCATGAGCAAGCTAGTGGCTAATACTAGCAGGTAGCCACTGTGGATGTTTCTCAATGTCAAGGCGCCTTGCCTTGCGAGGCGATGTCTTGCGAGGCCAGGCGCCTTGCTTGCAAGGACACTGTCCTTCCTTGCTCAAAGAAAACGGTTAAATGGAACAGACTTGCATCACGTGACCGCGGCTTCAACGGAGGTCATATAACGTCAAGTGACATGGGAGATAACGTTATATTTTATACATATTAGTTTCAATATAATTATATAAAGAGCCTTTTACTTTTAATTTGTGTATATGTTTATTAAATTAAAAATATAAGCAAGACACTACCCGCTAGCCACCAAAGCTGCAACTACTAAGCAGCTAACCAACAATAGATAACTTCTTTGGATCAAAAAAAAAAACATTTTAAATTAGCTGACTTACATTTAAACTTGAAATTTGTCCCCGAAGCAGCTGCCGGCTTCTGATCCACCGTCCTTTTGAAAACACCGCGGTGTATTGTGGGTATTTTTTGACTAAGGCTAGGCTAGAAGTCACCTCTCGTGTATCCTTGCTCAGCTAAACGGCTAACAAATGGAGAACACATGCCTAGGTATAACATGAACATTGGAACCAAATGGAACACGTCTTGGCGGCTCCCGATGACGTATCTCCTAGGCGACCGGGGCGGTGCCAAGACATCAAGGCAAGGCTTCTTGGCGTTGAGAAACACCCTGTAATTGAGATTCATAATCGTTTATGTCCGCATCTTAATGCATCAATTATTTTCCTCAGCTCTACCGAGCACCCCCGCTAAACTAACCAACACACTGCCTTAACCTTGCTCTTGGTGTGTTTGTCGTGCTGGCAGAAACAGACAAGCGAATAGCGTGACTTGGCTGAGAATGTGCCGGTAGATGCGTCCAGAAATAATGGCACAGGTGATAGAACGCAAATATGCGGTTTTAGGATCTCTGAGCTTTGGTAGATCGTCTTTATAATCGTTAACGATCTTATATCGTCAGCTTGCACAGCCCTACTTGGCAGACATTCAGGCGGTTTTGTAATTTGCATGTTTAAATACTTAACCAAATAAAAATATTTAGACTTGATAGTCCCTGACTTTTCCAAAATCTGTAAATTTTCATTAAAGGTGTGGTTGACTGAGAAACCATTTTTAAAATATTATTTCTGAATAAAATAGGTCACTCTTGAGTTTTTCATGCAGGCTGAACATGAAAGCAGTTTCCTACACAATCTCCTGTGTTAGCTACAGAGAGAAAATGGATGGTGAAATACTAGGATCGGAAAATCCTCACACTGTGATGTCACACTGTGAATTTGCATTCATGGCCTCACCCATCTGGGTTTGCGCCTGTCCACAGCCTTTTTACATTTTTTGCAGCAAGGAGAGAGAGTGGAGAGTGTGCTGGTAATAGTGACTTTGCAACATGGCTAAACACGTTACGTTAGCCAATCAGAAGCGAGTTATTAATAATAATGAGTGACCCTGCTGCTTTCACCGCATCTCTGCACCAGTAAAATTATGCATCTCAGAACGGGAGCATCATAGCTTTTTTTTCTTAATGACTCATAATGGATTTACACTAGAGAACAATGTAAATGTATTAAATAAACATGTAAACCACACCTTTGATTTCATGTTTATTGTCCAAATGACAGATTTAATATGACCACTGCTACCTATTTTAGTCAGAGGCAATCATTTTGACTGCCAGTGATTACCTCACTGGTTTCCCTGGGCCAGATAAAAATAGAATGCCAAGACTGGGAAATTTTTCAGTCAAAGAGCATCTCCAGCATTTGATCAGTCGTCTTTTTGTTATTTTTGTCTTTTATAACTAAAATATAAAGTAAGAGAGAAATTGGCAGAGGAGTATGACCGCAGAAATGGCGTCAGAAAAACTGATAATATGGACAGTTCAGATTCTAAAATGGTCTACTTAGGTGTTATTTTTGGTTGAAAAACATTATTCAGCTAATTCAATAAAACAATAAGTAAACTTTAAAGGTGAATTAATTGACCTTTACACGCAGCCATCAAAGTCAATGCTCAAGGCCGTTCTAGCAGTGATGGTTTGGTGGCCTTTCCAGTGTTAATCTGAGCAGGTGTTTTACTTCCTGTGCGCCTTTATTTTTGTCCGTGATTCTGCTGGTTAGAGTGGACTGTTGGACCTGAGGTTCAGTGTAATAAATGACAGAAAACAGCTCTTCTGGGAGCAGGCTGCTGGAGTGTGGTGTGGTAAATAGCTGAAACAGGTGATTATGTCCACCACTTTACGCCTCTGAGCCCGAGGATCTCCCCCTACGGTAACCGTATACATTCATCACATCTGTCCCACAGCAAGGGAGAACGCTCACGCAACACCACGAGCACATTCATCACTTCCCTCTTAGGGTGGTGTGTTCACACATCAGATGGACGCCACCCAGAGATGGAGACACCGACCCATTCAGGTTACGTGTCCAGAGGAAAGTCCTGGGTGTGGCTCTGTGTAAGTGGCCTCATAAATCAGCTCTGGCTCCTGCAGCATCAGCTGTTCCCTACGGGGCACAGGGGCCATTCAGCTGGTGGCTACCATGGTGGCTACTGACTCTGCTACTGCCTATCAACTCCCCCTAAAGTGTCCTACACTTACCCTCCCCCTCAATTAGCCTCCCTCCCCCTCCTCTCCCTCTGTCCTTCCTCTGCCCCCTGCATGTCTTCCATATCTCTTTCTGACATTACCCATTCCCTCTGTCCCTGCCTCCATTTCCTGATTAAACTGCACTCGTAGCTCTTCATCTGTCCTGTGGAGTCAGCTGGACTCGTCAGCCTTTCATCCTCCCACACTTATCCTCAGTTGTAGCAGCAAGAGGGAGGTCATGAAGATGTGCATTCACCTGACTGGACCCAGCAGCAAAGGTCACACTCCTGGAGATTCTAAACTTCAGTCCCTCTCTGTGGGCTGTCAGCACCTCGTGTGATGTGATCATTGAATAATTACATTAAATCACGTGAGATTGCTTGTTGAAGTCCTGAGAAGAGCAGCCTGTTGCATCTGCTCAGTTGCATCAAAACCAACCTCCTCTAGTCCCACTGAACACCTAAAGCTACACCCCCATGGTCAGAAACATATAAGGGTTTGACTTTTAATCAAATCATCCTTGTATCCAGTAGTGATGCACAACAGCATCCGGTCAATGAACTTCATTACAGATAATTCTCCCTCCAGAAAAGACTCAAATCCATTCCTAACTAGTTTAGAACGTGTTATTTGTGCTGCTAGCTGTGTAATTACACCGACAAACATAATTAACACCATCGAATGAAAAAATAATGATTCATGTGAGGGAAAAGTCCCGTAAATACCTTGTACCTGGCCGCCGTGCCGTTATATCTGCGGTGACATACAGAAGCGCTTAGCTCCCGGTAATGACCCGCTACGCAGTATCTGCCCTGTTGGCACCAGCCGGGGACCACTTTCTCCTCCGGTAACTCAAAGATTTCTCCCGACGCTCATTCCCGTAAACTTTTCCCGGTGGGAAACCCGCCTTCCGCGTTTAAAACCGGAGGAAAAAACTGGGACTTGATAGATGGAGGACGACAGCGGTATACACGCAACGCCGGAGCGAGTCTAAATTAGGGAAAAGAGGAAAGACAGACCTGCTATGATGTCGCGTCCGTGCTTTAGTGCCATCACTTCCGGATTTTGACTTCAAAATAAAAGCCAAGCCACTGAAAATATATATTTTTGGTTTAATTAGATATATTTAGTGACATTATCAAATTGTTGTTTTCTATATATGTTTTTAACTGTATTTTACAGGCAACAAGTTTCAATGAAAGGTTTTAGCTTCTTTAAAAGTATTTATGTCATTGCACAATTGTACATCGCTTTGGATAAAAGTGCCTGCCAAATAAATAATAATAATCATAAACATAAACGTACAGATGGCCCACATTAGAAATAAAAGAAAGAAAGAAAACAATCTTTTAGATAGCGCTTCTCCAGATAAAATCACAAGATGTGTCACAAAAACAATCAAAAAATAAATTAAAATAAAAAAAATAGATTTCTAAATAATAATTGAAATATGTTTAAAATTAGAAGAAATAAACAAATGGGATTCAAAATGTCAGGAAAGGTAGAGAAAAAATGATTAAGAAAAGGGGAAATCAGTCTCGGGAATGGCAGAATAAGAGCAGAATGAGGAGAGCAGGTGATGAAGGTCAAGCAAAAGCCAGCTTGAACAAGTGATTTTTCAACTGTTTTTTTGAAGGAGACCACTGAGTCCACTGAGCTCAGGCTCAGGGGAAGAGAA